GACAGAAGCAGCGCAGCTTGCCGATCCTTGATTTCCTGAGGTGTTATAAAAATTTTCAGGAATAAATTAAAATTTTTGCGTGAGGAACCTATGCACAGAAATCAATTGACTGTTCATCAATAGCTCTATAAATTTCTTTACTTCAATAATTAGAGCCGACAATATCAAAAAAAAGAAATCTTCAACAGATTCTTAAACTCATATTAATGTAATTCTTAAAATTAATTAAGCAGTTATTACTTGAGAATGAACACAACGATGCAAAGAACGGTGCAAAATTAGCAAAAAACCTTAGGATCAAAGCACGGTTTGAAGCAAAAAAGTATAAAAAAAGGAACATCAAACTTTTTTGTTGTTTTTTTTTTCAATCGGAAGTTGATTCTTTTCTATCAAAACATTTTTCTTTTTCGGAAAGTACGTTTGCTATTTAGCTGTTTTTCTGAAGAAAAAAAAGAGAATTATAGTATGATTTTTATTTTGAATATTTCTGAAATGTTATTCATGAATCCTTTTTTTGCCGACTGAAATTTTGATTTTGAATCCGTTTATTCATGAATCTTTTTTTTTGCTTATTGACGACTGAAATTGTGTTTAAATAAAAAATTATGATATCGAAAAAAAAATCATTTTTGGTCCCCCTTTTGAAGGGAGAAAACAATCGAATCGAAAGATCTTATTCAGTTTTGATGGCCACTATGATTTGAAAATAAGAAAACATCATTACATATTATATCTTCTAGTATAAAAACAATTTTTCAAGGAATCAATTTTAAACTTTAATTAAAGTATGAGACACTGCATCATTTCTCAATCAAAGCAAAACTGTTCAAAAGGATCGATTATTAATAAAAAGAGAACAAAGTGCTAAAAAACAACAAAAAATATAAAACTTTAACATTTTTGATAGAATTGCAATTGGAATGAACTTTTCAATAACCCGATGAATGATATTGAAACGGATTGTATTTTTAAAAGTTAGCAAGACTGCTCGTTAAAAAAATTCCTGTAAAAATGGTTAGTTAAAGAGTCGAAAATTGTCTGGAGAAAAAAACTACCCCGAGCACAAATATTTCATCAACTTCGTTACGAAAGTCGAAACAATAAATCACCGCTTACGCGTTAATAACGCAAAATATATCCGTCTCCCGGCAAAATTTATCCGTCTTCGAAAAAGCCGGAACAACAAGTTCGAACAATTCATAAATTTGTTTTATTAAGTTACTGCCTTTTCTACAAAACTTTGGGGGAAAAAAGTTTTATCCTTGAAACTCACTAAAGAATAAAAATTGAAAAATTAAAACGTTTTTGTTTTCGATTGGATAAATTAGGTGAAACACGAAAGTAAACTTTGCTCGCAAGTTTATCTGTATTGCGTTATTTTTTTGCAAAATTGGAGGCAAGGTTTTGATTATTTCAGAAGGTTTTGATTAAATCAAAAAATGTTCCCTTAAAGTGGTTGTTCTGGTTCATTTGATTGAAAATTGCTCAAAACCTACTACTACAGAATCAGTTTTTCAATAAAATGAAACGAAATCAACATCTTGTTTATTCACAAAAAATGTTGTCCGAGAAATTGAAAAAAATTTATTTTGTTGACTGCAGCCAAAAAAAAAGCCTTTTTGCATTAGAAAATGCAATATTTTTTTATTTAAAAGCAGTTTTTAAAAACAGGAACTTTCGACAATGAAGCCACAAAGAGGAGTTAACATTTTGTTGGCCTAATTAAGACACTGATTTTAATAAAGTTTATTCAAGTTGATGTGGATAATTTAATTTACATAAGCTGAATATTTTTGGGTTCCAACATGCATGCATTAATTTATGAGCTATAATTTCCTTACGGTGTTGCAGCAGTCTTTTTGTTTGGACTGTTTTTGACAAAATTGGACTATATGTTAGACGTCACTTCTGATAAACTTATCGACTTTTTTGTAAGCTGGAGTTAAAAACCAGAGTAACTTTTTTGGAGTGTTTTGAATCGCAAATGTATAAATAAGTGATCACATGTAAAACAGGGCAAGCGGGTGTGTTATTCAACGGTAATGGCTCGAGCTCTTTAGGGTACAAGGAACAGTTATTCAGGCTTTATCTTTCGACCTCGCGGGACACTATTTGCGGCGAAGCGTGAATAAATAAACCACTGATGGAGCCCGCAGTATTATTGATACCCGACATACAAAAGAGCGACCCGGGCGACAAATTAAAACAACGTCGACCGGCTGGGCGAAAAATTATAAAGGTGTTAAGACACAAATTAGCGGGCCTGGTGAATAGAAAATGAACACTTTAAGAGCCAGTAATGCTTCAGAGAAATAAGTACGCATGATCCCTTGGCTATCAATCGAGCAAAAGTGGCGTGGTAACTGATTAAATCGGGCTGCAGAGCCAACCCGGTTTTCAAAACACTTTTTACGATTCCATAGCCTTCTCATGTCATTTCGAGACGGGGTTAATTAAATAAGCACCCTAGGCACGTGGCTATAAAACAAAATATATACCAACTGATAAAAATAGAAAGATATGTGTTGTTTAGTACTCCAGTGGTTTTAGGATTATCAGAATTTAATGGCAAAACTATACTTCCTAAAGTTAGTAGCTTTGTACAACTTAAGGACAAAAAAGGGATTACAACACCAGGGCTAAAGTGAATTGATTCATCACATATACACCAGCTTCACATTATTCTACAAGGTACAAAAGACCAAAAATATAATCAGAGTTTGTATTATGCGAATCAAAATTGGGTTGCATTGATACTGCTTACAACAAAATAAAGCTCAATCACAAATTCTTTATGCCCACGACCGTTTAAAATTGAATTGAGGTTGATTTCCAAAATGCCCTAGGTGAAATAAATGAAAAAAGAGGAATATTTATTTTCTAGGCCGAGGAATAAAATTAGTCTTGAATCGGTCATCATAGTTGGAAAAGCGAATTCACTATTATCAATTTTAAATCTATTTTGCTTCAACCGTTTAATCGAAAACAGTAGCTTGCCAAGTGGGACTGCTTGGTACTTCTTTTGCCCTTTGACCTTAAAGTTTTTTTTAAAAGGCGTCAATACGCCAATATAAACCGAAGTTAGCTTAATTTTGTTCACCCTAATTTCTTCGGTGCAAAAACGGAATCAAACTAAAAGTCCTCCCATTTAAAAGGAAGAGAATAAAAATAAAACACGCAGCACTAACTATTTTAAAAAAATTTAATTGATTAAATATTGCTGTGGATGATCTTAATTTGATATTTTTAGGAAGATGGTCTAGCTTGATTCAAAACCGGAAACTAATTTGATTCAAATATTAATTGATAGTGAATTGACTTGAAACTATCAATTGAGCTTTTGCAAAAAATCAAATGAGGTTCAAAAATCAACCTTAAGTCATTTGACGGTATTCTTCTATCTTCTCTTCTCTTTTTTTCTTCTCTTCTCCCCCCCCCCCCTCTCTCTCTCTCTCTCTCTCTCTCTCTCTTCTTTCTCTCTCTTACCTCCCTCTCTCACTCTCTCTCTCGCTCTTCTTTCCCTCCCACTCTCACTTTTTCTCTGTGCTGTCTTGCAAGCATTTTGCAGAACTTTTGAAATGCTTCTTCAAAAAACACATGAAATTTTGCAGGAGGAATTCATTTTATTCAACATCACTTTCATATATCAAATTTTAAATCTAAGTTTGATAAATAAAAACTTAAATTGATTCCACAGTAGCAACGATGCGTTTCGCAAAAACAAGCACTACTCCTAGATGAAAAAAACTTCTAACATTAGAAGTAAAATCTAAAACAAGGTAGCCGGTTACTGTGCAAGTAGCACAGAATGTTGCGACTACAGCCTTAGAAAAATACAAGAACATTTTTTTTCCGCATGGTGTGATAGAAATATCTGAACAAAAAAAAACTCAGGCGTATTTGCCAGTCATAGGCCATTCGGAAAACAATTTTTGGAGAACATTGACAAGAAAAACTAAAAAAAAATTGTGAGAAAAAGTTTTTTGTTTTTGTTTACAAAATGGCGCTAAAAAAACTCCGAAAACTAGTTTTATTTGAGTAGAACTAACTTTTAACGGCTTGACAAAAGCTTAAACAAGCTATTGTAAGCCTACACTCTCACACTATATTAGTTCAAATTTAGAGCAAAAATCAAAATTTCAAACCGGTTTTTCTCGACACTGCGATATTTTTGCGAACCATAATTAAAAGGGTTTTAATATGATATATCATTCGGGCTATTCCGTAATTAATTAGGGTACCTGATTTTGCATGGAAAGCAAAAAAAAATCGAGCCCGAATACAAAGTTCCTCCTCACTTTTCAAATGGTCGGATCAATTAGATATAAAAATCTTTCATAAATGCAAAGGTTCTGGAGACTACATAACTTGAGCGTCAAACCACCCGATCAAAATACGACAGCAACTAAGCCACCGCTTTTCGGTCAAATTATGAGGTGTGGGGGGATGATTTTTACAAAAAATCTCAAATTTTAGAAAAAAATACTTTTTTTATTTTATTTCATTATTTTTAATTTTTTTATATTATTACTGCTCCATAAACGTTAAAAGGCAGTCGGAACATTCAGGGCTTTGCCAGGATACAAGGAGTCTTGTGTTTCTTGGGTATAAATTTTTTTGGCTAACCATTATTTTGATGGCTGAAATTGGTTAACCCAAACTTATATAATATTTATTTTCTTTGAAAGTCGGAACCATAAACTTCAAAACTTCAATTGATTATAAATCGTTTTCGAAAAAGAATTGCCATGGGAAAAATTGCAGAAAAATTAACAGGAATAAAATTTTCAAGCAAGCTTTGGTGCGGTGTGGTGAAACAGCAGCTATGTAAAAGGCTAAGTTCAGCATAAATCATGCTGTGACATTGAGCTTCACTTTTTTGAAAATAATCAGCACCAGAAATCGAACGCTCTATTTTTCTGTAAGATTGATAGCATGTGTGTGTATAACTGAGTTGTTTTCATTTCAACCGGCATTCATAAGCTATCGATTCTTCTTTTTTATTCCGCTTTATATGGCCGCATGGCCATAGCTATTTCTTGAACATTTCTTCTTTTTGCCTCTTTCATGGTCTTGTCAATGTTCATAGTTTCGAGCATGTCACTGATTGACAAGCGACGCTGGTCATGGTCCGGAAAATGCGGATATTGGTTCTTAATTTTACACAAAATCACTTTTCGAAACAGAGCCCACTGCTGTTTCTCGGAGAGCCCCTTCCGGGCTATTCCGACGAAGTTCCCGTTGTTGTCGAACACCTCTCGAGTCTTGCGGTAGAGCGTTCCTCCGATCCCATGTTCGGATAAGTCATGCCCGAACAACTCTATGATTGGCTCTGCACGTACACCGATTGTCAGGTCTATGCACTGAAAGAACATGCAGATTTCAAATTCAAAAAACCGATAAGTCTATTTGAAATTTTTGGAACAAAGAATTATACGATTATTTTTGCGAACTCCTGAACTAAGTACTAAGGTTTAAGCAATACAGTCTTTTGGTATGCCCGTATGACTACAAATATTTCCTTTCTAAATAGCTCAGAATATTTTTGCGAAAAAAAAAACAAAACCTGTGGAATTAAATTAAACTTTAATTTGATGCAAGATTCAATATGATTGTATTTTGTTTTCGTCTTCCTTTGTAAGTTTGCTTGCCTTCATGATGACGTAGGTAGAGAATGCGGCCCATACACAGCACACGACGCCGTACAGTGTCTGTGCGGCCAGCAGTTCATAGTTGCCCCCTCTCAACAGTCCATTCCTCTTCAGCAGTGCCTCCCGGGTGGGGTCCTCGTGGGCAAACAGACCCACACAGATCAGGCTCCAGAACCCAACTGGAGAACACAGCAAAAACATACTCGCAAAACCACAGGAGCTGTTCACTCTCAGTCGTATTTACACAAAAGGGCAGCTAACATGTGAAAAGTGTAATGAATGCGACGGATATATTTTGAAACTGTTGCATTTTAGAGAATACCGCTTTTTAGCTTGCTGCTTTTTGTTCTTAATCAAAAAACACAAAAATACGAAGCATTCAGCTCTTTGAGCCGGTCGCTTGAAGGACAACTGATGATTTGAAGATGGATTTTTCCGCATCTTAAGTTAGTTGTAGTTGATTACACATACCTGCTCCATGTACAGCGAATGCATCCACTGGGTCGTCTACTTTGTACGCGTGCAAGGCCTCCTGGGCCAGTATCATCACAATTGGGCTGAGACACCCTATCACTATGGCCTCTCCTGGGGTGATGACGGGACAGAGAGCAGTGACCCCCACGAGGCCACTCAGCAGTCCATTGATTACGAGGGGCACTTCACACTTTCCATTTCTCAACACGTAACTGAAACACAAAAATCAATCAATTTAAATATATATTTTTTTCTAAATAAATTATAATTATAAAATTGTTTCCAAATTTTTTTTGTAGACTTATTACACTTGTAAGGACGTTAAAAGTCAGCGAGCCTGTCAAGGACGCCTCATTTCATAAGATTCTTTGATAGCATTGTTTTTAGAGATAAACATTTTTGTCACGATTTCAACAAATTGCCAGCCTCATTATTTGAACTCAATCCTTCGGAAGCCAAAGAACCTTACAACTAGTTTTTTTATGACAGTCAATTGTCGCCTACGAAAAAAGTGAAAAAGAAGTGCCAGAAAACTCTACTTGTTGCCGAGAAGCGCACACCAGAAAATTGAAAATGTTTCTAATAAGCTTACAAAAGAGGCCCAAGTGCAGCTTTTTCTACCTATTTTGTTCAAAACCTATATTGATAGAAACAACTGTAAGTAAAAATTATTTGAATGGCGGCCCAATTTTGACAAAATTATCGCCCAAGCAAAACAAATAGCCGCCTGTTGATAAAATTTATCGCAGTAAATCTGTACATCAGCGATAAATGACTTTAAGAGCATGCATGTATTTTTATATCCTCAATAAACTGATACCAATCCAATCTCCTGAATTTTTCTCCAATTGCAACAAGTCGTCCTGGATTGATTTCCTCCAATTGTCTAAAAGCCGGTATGTATTATGGGATCAAGTTAACATTCCCAAGTAACCCCCCCCCCCCAAGTAGACCAAGTTAAGATCCTCCACCACAGCGTTGAATTTAAATTAAACAAGACTGCTCGTATCAGGGCGAAGTCCTGAATGTTCCGACTGCCTTTTAAGGTTTATGGAGCAGTAATAACATTAAAAAATTAAATGTAAGAAAAAACAAAATGAAAAATTTTTTTTTCCAAAATTTGAAATTTTTACATCCCCCCACACGCCATACAAAGTACAAAAGGATAGATTTTGCTCCTTGTAACAAACCAATTATGGCGATTAAGCTTCTTTTAACCAATTTGGAACAATTTCTAAGACGGATTAACTCTCCGCTTACGCGTTAATAGCGCGAAATATATCGCGCGTTAATTGTCCCAAATTGGCCAAAATGGCAATCTTTAAACCCCCATAACTCTACGAAAAATGATCACAGGATCTTTTCAAATTTGAGCTCAGGACAACAATACCTTTCGAATGATAAAAAAAAATTCTGTCAAAAATGGCTAGTTAAAAAGTCGAAATTTGTCTGAAGAAAAAAAAACCCACCCCGAGCACAAATATTCCGTTACTTTCGTATCGAAAGTCGGAACAATAAATTAATTTTGATAAGCTCTGCGTGTAAAATGCTCTATTCTGATTGGCTGAAAAATCGAACTCAGAACCAAGTTAAGATCCTCCCCCCTAAACGGATTTGAGGGAGAGGATGTTAAATTGGTCCGTATTATGCCCTCAACTAGTTTTGAAGGAAGAAATCTGATGGCTCAATCTGCTCATTCAGTACAGCATGAATTGTAAAAATTTGATAAAGTCAGGAATTGCGTTAAAGGTCCCATCTGCGTGCCAGATTGATCTGTTTCGTGATCATGCTCGGCGGACTATTTCATTTGCAAAAAATAACAAGACTGCTCGTATCAGGGCGAAGCCCTGAATGTTCCGACTGCCTTTCAAGGTTTATGGAGCAGCAGTAATAGCATAAAAAAAATTAAATGAAATAAAATAAAATGAAATTTTTTTTTCTAAAATTTGAAATTTTTTATGAAAATCATCCCCCACACGCCATATAAAGTACAAAATGAGAGATTTCGTTCCTTTTAACAAATCAATTATGGCAAATAAGCTTCGTTCAACCAATTTGGAACGATTTATAAGACGGATTAAATCTCCGCTTACGCGTTAATTATAATTGTCCCAAATTGGTCAAAATGGCCAAAATGGCAATCTTTAAACCCTCATAACTCTACGAAAAATGATCACAGGTGAAATTTCTTTTCAAATTTAAGCTCAGGACAACAATACCTTTTGAATGATATAAAAAAATTCCGTCAAAAATGGCTAGTTAAAAAGTCGAAATTTGTCTGAAGAAAAAAAACCCACCCCGAGCACAAATATTCCGTTACTTTCGTATCGAAAGTCGGAACAAAAATAGCGAAGTTTTATGCAGTCTATTCAAGAATCGCCAACTGGACTTTTTGTTATATTGTTTTGCCGGATAAGATTGAAGTTTTTTTTTCGTGCACAAGTTTTTTTTCCTCGCGCTGGCTTGTGACAAAAGCATATAAGTATCAGTAGCTGAAATGATTTGCGAGAAATAAACGAAGTGAACGAATCGCAGCAAAGGTGTTTGAAATGCATCTAACATTCTGTTACCCCTATCCATAGCGTTGATTTATTTGACTTTAGAGTTTATAGGAAATGCCAGAAAATTTGTTGGCAATATTGGTGACCTTGAGCAGTTTAATCGGTCAAAACCTCTAGCATTTTAAGTTATAGAATTTTTGAACACGGTTTTTACGGATATAAATCAGTGTTAAACTGAAATCCAACGTAAAATTGAGCAATTTTAGGTTCATTAGTTTCGTTCAGATTCGTTGGCCGAAAAGGATATTGCAACAGTTTGGTGTTAACTATAAATCAAAACTGATGCTAAATTTAAATTTGCACGCTGGATTTGTTTTCTCCAAAACCACCGCTTAATATCTTACCTTAATTGCACCGTAAATTTACCCCCCCCCCATTAGCAATTAACCCTAATGCTAATTCTGGTTGCCGCTTGCTACGAATTGACGCTAGTGCGAATTGTGAAAGCGCTACGAATCCTCGCTTAAAGCATTCGTTGCCTGACGGTTAAATCATACCTCAAAATAATAGAGCTGATGCCACTGCCTACTGATGCGTTGACGGTGGTGACTGCACTCTTGGCCGCCAGCTTCCACTTGCCGCCCGTTACCCCGTAAGTGCTTCCACAGTTGAAGCCCATCCAACCGAACCAGAGCATGAACAAACCAAATATGGCAGTGGCAGGGTGGTCCATGGTGAACAACTCAGGGTGCTTGTATCTGTTCTTCCTAACACCCAGCATCCACGCGGCAGTCAAGGCTAATCAGCGATAAAATGAAACAATCGCCGATAAAAGATAATATCTGAAGTATGCAATTTTTTATTAAAATTTTCAGTAGAAGTCGAATCATAAATTTTTTTTGACCAGATCAAAGATATGACAGTTTGAAGACCCATATATTACTCGAAAGTTGCCCTAACAATCTCTGAAAGTTTATGTGTTTTTATATAAAAATATTCTGATTTTCAAATTATAAGTAACGTTTACCATTTATAAGTAACGTTTAACGTTTATATTTTTCAATTCACCATTTGAAAAAACTGACAATCTGCGTAAAATAAAGTACCTTCAGTTAATGACAATAACGAAGATAAGTGATATTTAGAATGACCTGCCTGTGATTCCCCCAACCAAGTGCACAGCTCCACTTCCCCCGTAGTCTATGGCCTCGAAGTGTTTGTTGAGGAAGCCATCCTCGTGCCAGATCCAGTGGGCAGGAAACACGTAGATGAAAGTATTGAAAAACGAGAACACCACGTAGCCCAAAAAGTCAGCCCGCTCAGCAATCGCACCCGAGACGAGAGTTGTCGCGGTCGTAGCGAAGCTGGCTTCGAAGAAAAAGTGTGCATATTTATCCCCCATTGTATCGGGGTTATTCGTGTTGGTGAAAAAGTCCCCCAAGCCCATGAATCCATAGAGAGATGTACTTCCGAAGCTGATCCCGTAGCCGAGCATCCAGTAGGACAGTCCACCTAGCAGAACGTCCACTCCGTTCTTAGTCATGATGTTCACTTCATTCTTTCGACTGACTGAACCAGACTCAAGGAGACCAAAACTGAATGAAAAATTGCGTGTAACTTTTTTTAGATGGTTAGAGCGAAGTTTCAAATGATGAGTATTTCTTTCACTTTAAAAATCCCCCCCCCCCCCGATACTCTATAGAATGCAATTCAAAATACAAGGAGAAGTATTACTTGATAACCTAATACAGCCGCTTTCCTTATACTTTCATTAGATATCAAAAGACTAATAATCCATAAAACTTTAGTTTCTTTCAATAATTTTATCATACAAAAACATCATCGTTTAAGACTAACCCGCTCTGCATGGTGAAAATGATAAAGGTGGAGGTGAGAATCCAAGTGGCATCATCCCACGTGGAAACAGCTGGCTTGTCACCCCCGGTCCAGTTGCCATCACTCAATGTCAAGTTAGCAAATGAGGGGCTTATGTTAGAGCTGTATGACATCGCTGATTTTTTTACTTCGCAAAACGGCAAAACGTTTCCTCGTGAATAATTTTGAAGGAAAACAACGGTTCAACTCCAGTCTTTTTTCAATTTTTTTTAGAAACTTTGGTGCTCCACGTAGAAAGAGACTCAAAGTCCGGTTGAAAGCTCTTACCAACAAAATGTTGAAGGGTACTAATGTCCATTAGCAATCTAGTGGTTTGTTCAGCACTTTTTCTGAAAACTGTGGCACTTGCTCGGCATTTCAAGAGATCATTGCTCTTATCCTACATTAATTTGATGACCACTTGTTTTTATTTCAAAGAATCGAGCTTAGCGATTTAAAATCGGTTGCAGAGGCTTGCAACTGAATTAAACAGAAAATTATGAAAAAGTTGGCTTACCTACACCTTACTTTTCAAAACTTCCAAGTCAATCATAAAACTTTTTAGCAGCAACAAGAACAACCGGTTGCTGTGCAGGTAGCGCAGATTTTTTCGATCAGTTTTAGCAAAACGAGAAAAGTCATTTTTTTCCATTTTTTTTTCTATCTTCATACCTTTACCATTTTTGGAGAAGAACGCAGTGACATATTTTGCAGATTACAAAGTATGAAATAGATTTAAAAAAATGTAAGAAAAACTAAGTTTTTTTTTTTTAAAATGAGATTTTTTGTAAAAACACCTTCCCACATGCCATATTAAAAACAAAGTGATAAATTTCGCTCCATTTTACAAATCAATTAAGACATATAAGCTTCCTTGACCAATTTGAACGATTTATAAAAAAGATTAAATCTCCGCTTACGCGTTAATAGCGCGAAAACTATCGCGCATTAATTGTCACAAATCGGCCAAAGTGCCAATCGTTAAACCCCCATAACTTTACAAAAAAAAATCACAGTTGAAATATCTTTTCAAGTTTTAGCTCAAGACAACAATAGTTTTTGAATAACAAAAAAAATTCGTCAAAATGGCTAGTTAAAAAGCCGAAATTTGTCTGAAGAAAAAAAACCCACCCGAGCACAAAAATTCCGTTGCTTTCATTACGAAAGTCGGAACAACAAGACGGAACGTATTGTGGCGGAGCCCTGAATGTTCCGACTACCTTTAAGTTCTATGCAGCAGTAATAACATGAAAAAAAAAATGTAATCAAATAAAATGATTTTTGCGAAAAATCTCTCTCCTTATAAAATACAAAGTGATAGGTTTTGCTCATATTAACGAATAATTTATGGCAAAAAGAGCATCCTTAAACCAATTTGGAACAATTTCTAAGACGAATTAAATCACCGCATACGCATTAATAGAGCGAAATATATTGCGCGTTAATTGCCCCAAAATGGCTAAAACGGTCATTTTTTAAACCATCATAACTTTATGAAAAATTATCCCAGGTGAAATACTTATTTCAATTTTAGGCTCACTAAAATAATACCTTGTAACTGATACTTAAAAAATCCGTCAAAAATGGTTTGTTAAAGAAAGTCGAAGTTTATCTGAAGAAAAAAAACCCACCCGAGCACAAATATTCCGTTACTTTCGTTACGAAAGTCTGAACAACAAGACGGAACGCATTGGGGCAAAGCGCTGAATGTTGCGACTTCCTTTTAAGTTCTATGGAGCAGTAATGACATAAAAAATAAATGTAATGAAGTGGAATGATTTTTGAGAAAAATCTCCCTCCATATAAAATACAAAGTGATAGATTTTGCTCATATTAACAAATCATTTATGGCAAAAAAACTTCTTCAAACTAATTTGGAATGATTTCTAAGACGAATTAAATCACCGCATACGCAATAACAGCGCGAATTATATTGCGCGTTAATTGCCCCAATTTGGCTAAAATGGTCTCTTTTTGAAGCACCATAACTTTATAAAAAATTATCCCAGTTGAAATATTTTTTCAAATTTAGGCTCAGTAAATTAATACCTTGTAAATGAAATTTAAAAAATCCGTCAAAAATGGCTTTTTGAAAAAATTCGAAGTTTATCTGGTCGGAACAACAAGACGGAACGTATTGGTGCGAAGCCCTGAATGTTCATGCTACTTTTTAAGTTCTATGGAGCAGTATTGACATGAAAAAAAAAATAAATGTAATGAAATAAAATGATTTTTGCGAAAAATCTCTCTCCATATAAAATATAAAGTGATAGATTTTGCTCATACTAACAAATCATTTATGTCAAAAAAGCTTGCTTAAACCAGTTTGGAACGATTTCTTAGACGAATTAAATCACCGCATACGCATTAATAGCGCGAAATATATTGCGCGTTAATTGCCCCAAATTGGCTAAAATGGTCATTTTTCAAACCACCATAACTTTATTAAAAATTATCCTTTTTTCATGGTGAAATATTTTTTTCAAATTTAGGCTCAGTAAATTAATACCTTGTAAATGATTTTTAAAAAATCCGCCAAAAATGGCTTTTATAAAAAGTTTATCTGAAGAAAAAAACCACCCCGAGCACAAATATTCCGTTACTTTCGTTACGAAAGTCGGAATAATAACTATTTTCAAATGCCAAATTAAAATTTTCGAATCTCAGTCCAGATGCACAGAAACTACCAATTTTATATGTTATATATTTTTGGCGAAGTTTCACCTTTGCATTACCACGCCAGGCTCTGGTACTTTGTTAGTAGTCTGGATACCAAAAACAATGGGAATCGAAAAACAAATGGTTAAAACGTGTTAAAACTTTTTAACGTGTTTATTGCTGGATACAAAAACAGCGAATAAATTGTCACAACTTTGTACAGACACAAGTATTCTCTGAAATTCAGCTACCAAATCTTCTAAAGCATGCGAATCAGTCTATGGAATCCGTCAAGGGAAAACCGAATCGAGCGAGCACAGTTGTTTGCTATAGAAAAAAAATAGAACTTGGTGCCCCAATGTGCTTCCTAGCCATAAAATTGGTTTTGGTTGATAAAAAAATCCAAAACAATTGCAATCGCCAAAAAATTAAAGCTGATTTTTTTCTTTTTTTAAAGCTAAATGTTTGCTTGAGATCTAATTGAAAAATAATTTTCGATCTTTAAATACAAAACTTTGAGCGTCTTTAAATGAGTTGGTATCTATTTCAACCTAAGTTGCTGATATCCACCAGTTACGACTGAGTTACTGAGTTTAAAAACTAAAAATATATAAATATTCGAAGTGATTTTTATGAAACAATGCTACTCATACAAAGATTACAAAAATAGTCATAAAATCTTGATATGAAGGATATGCTAAAAGTCGAATATTCTTTTTTTTCGCAAAGCCATCGAAATTTGTATGAAAAGTAAGCGAATTGTATGTCTGGTGTTTTCTGACACCCCGGGTACTTTTTAAAAAAAGTTGTTTAAAAACTTTATATGTATTTATTGTTTTGAAATAGAATTTTCGATGAACAACTTTTGAAGTGCACTAAAGTCGTCAAGTCAATCTTTTTGACATTTTACCTGAAAAAAAATATAAATATATCAAAAGCATAAGATTTCTGTTACTAATTAGTTTCTTGTAATCACTTTTCCGACAAAATGCTACTCAACATCTGTTTGCAAGCAATGAACTGCTTTTTATTCGTAATTGATTAAAAAAAAACACGCGTTCGTCGATAAAAATTGTTAGAAATTTAATGAAATTTATGCCGGCATTGCAAAATCATGTCAATTGAACCCTACCATTTGGAGAGCTTCCCCGTTACTGGAATTTATCAAATGAAAAAGTAAAGCCCAAAAGTTTGCTGAAAAGATGAACAATGCAAACTAATCGCGAATAATTTTAACATCAGCTCGAGCCAAACTTTTACTATGTTCATCATGATATTTGAGAGTAAGTATACGTAATTCTATTATCTATCGAATTACATTGTTATAGCAAATCGTCTTCACTGTTTTTTTTCTTGCTTGATCTGAAAATTGACATCATAGCATCTCTCGACACGGATACTCGTTTATAATGGAAACTCAAAATTTTTTTGAGTAGTCTATAGAATCAAAAATTTCATTTTTTATTTTTTCAAATCAAGCATTCTCTCCAAACAAAACTGCGGATGAAATTAACACCCTTTCTCCTAACTAGAACAAGACAAAGTCTTCCTTCTCAATGTTCAATTCGAATTAAAACTGGTTGACGCTGCGTGTGGAACCCAATATCTAAAAAACAAATGGACCCCCCCCCCCCCAGATAGGATGGAACAAGTTATGATCTTCCACCCCAGCATTTAATTCGCACTAAAATTGCTAACGCTACATGTAAAATGAGTGATTCTGATTGGCTGAAAATTGCCAATTTAAAACCAATTTAACAACCTCCCCCCAAACGGCTTTGGGGGAAGGATGTTATCTTGGTCCAGCTAAGCTTGAGCAGATTGTAATCTCTCTAAAAAAAATTTCATCAAAACAGCTTGTATTACGTCGATTATCCATCAAAGCCATTTTTAACAAGCTTTTTTAAAAAAAACATCGAGAGGCTAAAATCAATCATAGCCAAGAAGAACGGAGAAGCGCGGCTAAACTTAGATATGCAAAAAAAAAACCGATTTAAAAGATGCCGTTTTCTGAAAAGAACTTGAAAAGCAATGTTCAAAAACGATGAAATATCATTCTTTTCACAAAGAAATCAGTATTAGCTATCAGTCGATATAATCAGCGATAACTAAAAAATCTTTAAGCAGCCATTGGAACGTAATTATACGAAAGGAAGTAAAAAATAAATGACTTGCTCGTATCAAGGCGTAGCGTGGATTGTTCCATTTGACCTTAATTGTACATATATTTTTTGGTTTCTCAAAACGGACAATATTTTCAACAAAAAATTGCTCAATCCTTTTTAAAATAACCGCCCCACGCAGTTTTGCTTACAATTGGGGTCTTATGCACCAAAGAACCAAAATCACATTTTAAAATCTTGATCTGAAACTCTTGTAGTCAAATTTTAATAGCTCATTTTGTAGGTAAGCAATGCAAATAAGAATTTCTCAGAATATCAGCAGACCAAAATATTAGCCAAAATTACTGATACAGTGGAGTTTTAACAAACAATGAATATATTTACTCAGCATTAAAAGGAACAAATGTTCTATACTTTTGGTCTTTTCGCCTATTGTGATTTTATGCTTGAAAATTTAAAATACTTAAACAACCATGTTTGAATTTGATTAGCAAATTAGCCAATCAGACTCAACCACAATAATTTTAGATCAAGATGTAGAAAAACTGACATTGGGCCATTTAGTGCATAAGACCCACTAAATGTCATATGTATTCTGTTTACAGATTATTTGGAAAAACTAGTTCCATCAACTTGATGAAATCTTGTTTGAGCTGGATTGAAAAAGCCCAAAGCGACAAAAGGCAGCTCTAAATATGAAATAAAAAAGGTGAAAACTTGCTTGAAGGTGTGGAAACTTTACAGTGTCAGATTTGAACCTTGTCAGATTTTGATAATTGCGCCACAAGCCTTCGATAAACTGCAAACACTAGTCACCAACAAAGTAGCTACATATGCTAATAAATTGCCAATGATATGCAGCAAAGAATCCACACTAAAAAATATCTACACTAACTTGCACCACTAACTTGCCGCTATGCAGCTAAAGGTAACCACAAAAATTTTGCATGTAAAGAACAACAAATTATAGAGCCGAATTGTAAATAAATTAAGCGTTCATTTTAAGTTGAAATAATGTTGAGTTGAAACTTTTCTAAAATTGAGTTTTTCTTCTTGTCCCGTAGTATGAAACAAAGTTTTTTTTGGTTCAATCGATGAATTACAGATGCATCAACTGTGTTAATTTTAATCGAAGCTCAAAGTACAGGCAATTAAACTGCCACTGCTACAAAAAAGCTACCCAGCCAACAAAAGTAACACTAGTTTTTGCGACTTAGGTCGATCAGCCTGGTACAACCACGTTGCGTTTGTGTAAATTTATACATTCATCCCCAATTGTAAATTAATTATTTATCCCCAGGTGTCAAGTTTCAACCCCTCTATAGCTTTAGAAAATATGATGCAAGATTTTAAAAAACAAAACTGCTCGTATGAGTGCAAAAACCTGAATGTTCCCACTGCCTTTTAAGGTCTATGGAGCAGTAATTACATGAAAAATAAAATGTAAAAAAATAAAGGAAAAAAATTTAAAATACAAAAATCTTAAAGCCATTTAGAGTACAAAGTGATAAGTTTTGCTTCTAGGAACAAATCAACTAAGGCAAATAAGCTTTCTTCAACCAATTTAGAACAATTTTAAAAAGATTAAATCTCCGCTTACGCGTTATTAGCGGCAAAAATATCGCGCGTTAATTGTCCCAAATCGGCTAAACTGGCAATCTTTAAACCCCCATAACTTACCAAAAAATGATCAAAGGTGAAATATCTTTTCAAATTTAGGCTCAGGACAATAATATATTTAAATGATATACAAACAAATCCATCAAAAATAGCTAGTCAAAAAGTCGAAGTTTGTCTGAAGAAAAAAAACCCAACCCGAGCACAAATATTCCGTTACTTTCGTTACGGAAGACGGAACAATAATTTGACCAATTCGTTTTAGATAGTTTATATCATGACAGTATTCGATAAATTTCGTCAATTCGAAGCAACTAGAAAATCAAATCAAACAAGCGAATATTACTTTTTACCTATTCAATAGGTGACGATCGTTCTCTTGAATCACACAAATTAAATGACCTTTTCCGGTCTACTCTTCTCTGCGAAACTAGTCGAAAGTTCAAACTTTAATATTTTGCAAAAAAAAACATTGCACAGCAGCCTCTGATTTCATTTTTAAGGCCGTTCTCAAATTAAACTTATCAGTGATTTAGAATCTGACAGCAAATTGGCCACACTTTCGGTTTTTATGCAGTCTAAAAACTAATGGAGCATAAAATGATATATCACTTAGTCTCATATAACAGCCAAACCTTTTCATCCAAGGTTTCAAGATTGAGTGAAATCGTATTCAAGAGCTTTCCTTAGGCAGTAAAATTCAAAAAACTAAAAAGCTTAAACATACAGTTGGAGAATAGTCAAACGAAAAGAACGAAAATTGAACTTTCGAAATTCAAAAAAACTATGGCCTCAAAGCTTCTTGAATTTCAAAAGCAATTTATGATTCGCATTTTTTGATAAAATTAAACCAATTTGAGAAAACTAGATTAATAGGAAAAAATTTTATTCCGCTGGGTAAACTTAAAATTAACTAGAAATCGATCACTTCTTTTGCGCCATACCTAAGTCCACACAAATCTCCAGTTATAAGTATAAAGGCACTTCTTTTGTTATTTGAGCATTTTAAGACTTTGCCTGAAAAAAAACATTACGAGGCCAACCTGTGCATTTTTAGAATTTTAAAGGGATTCCGCAACAAGGACGCTCCCTTTTTTCTTCTTTTGTTCTTTCCTTTTCTTTGATCGTTCCGACAAAATTTCAACATGTTTAAAGACTTGTATCTGGAATCCAGGAACATAGACACAAAATTGTGCGCCTATCCAGTGCACAGTTTGGCTTCGTAATGAAACAAAAAATCATCACGAACGATATACGACTCTTAATAAAACCAGTTTCACATAAGAAACTGCAGAAACGTCCAAAAATTGTTATCTGGCGCTTGTTGCTTATATACGAAAATGTTGCAGCGCTTTTTTTAAACATGCACTTTCTGAGGAACAACCAGCTTGTCGGTACCAAAATTGCTCCCCGGGGTAGACGTCCTGCAAATTTTACAATCGCACTGACTTCGATCGACTGTTTCCAGCAACCTTGTGCAAATTTTTGTTTCAGTGAATAAAGCTTAGTTACTCCAGCCGTAGTTACTCAAACGCATTATTTGCAGGGAGCTCAAAATCGCATGGAAATGGGTTCGCTAGTTCTTTTTAAGCAACATATTTTGGATCGGATCAAAATCACCGAATTATAATTAATCGTCTAAAGCTAACTTGTCTTTTAGCGCTTGAAGGAAACATCAAGTCATTTAAAAATTACTGTATTATAGAAAACAAAAGCAAAAATAAATCACTCAACTGCAGCGATAGAGTTCAAAAAAATTAAGTTTAAAGTTATATTAAGCTCAAAATACAGTTTTGAATTCATTTCGCCGGCAGCATCTCGGTCATGCTCGAACTTTTCCATAGCAAGCCCCGCATCAGCCGAAAATCATTGATAATAGAGTTCCAAATTCATTCCGTCGTGAATTTCATCTGAAGCAATCAATCAACAACGGTAAAATGAAGCAATGAGATCAAGATTTCAGATGGAAATAAAATCTTATTAGATAAAATCAATTCAAAGGCTAATCAGTTCAAGGCAGCTGTTTTCGGCTGGGAAAATGTCAAATTTAGGTAATATTTAGATATATAACCAGAAAAGATCATAGGACAAGATATATTAAATCATTGTCTTCTTACAGTCTCCAAGTGTGATGTGGTCCTTGTATATGGTGTACCACTTCTTCAGAATGATTCTCTCCCAGGAGGTGCCTGTCTGGGCAGCTATCAATTTCTTCAGATCCCCCACAGTGTCGCTGGGGTTGCACTTGATGCGCACCTTCTTGCCCAGTCTGTCATTACATGTGATCTCTATCATCTCTACCCACTCTACTACCAGAACTGATCACTGTTGTTCTGATGACTGCCACTACCAACTGCAGATGAGAGCGTAATCATTCACACTTCGTGGATTAAAACCATCGAAACAAAACTCATCTGAAGTTATCATTGAAAGATAGTTCAAGGAATGGCAACGAAACTTGAGCAGGCATATCAAGTGCGCGAGTTTGAACTTATTAGCCTTTAACAAAATTCAACTCCCTAGCATTTATAAGAAAGCAACATAAAAAAGGATGCCATGACAACAATAGAACGCTTCAATGCCACACGTTCAGTCGCTCCCGATGCCTGCGTAGGTTTTGCCTTTATTGCTCCAAGGGATCTCTAACAATTTTCCCTTATGGTACCATGAAGAATCTTCCCGCTATATAAAGAAATAATTCGACGGTTAGGCATATGTGAATTTTATACCTAGTAAAGAATTCTCCCCCAAGCAAAAGGGGTAGTTAACGAGATTCGCGTCCAGCGTTGGGCTATTAGACCGATCCTTTCAAAAAAACTATCTCAATAAATCAGCTGGTATCATGTCGTGTCTACTGTCAGCAGCTTCACGCAACCCTCCTTTTTGAACATTATTAAAAACGCGCCCTTTCGAAAAAGTTCATTAAATTTAGGGATAATCTACACATGCAACATATTTACAGTCGAAAGATATTTACAGCCGGCCAATATTACAGGATTACAGGTGATAGATACAAGTTTCGAAAAAATCGATGATTGCACAGAAGACTAAAGTCAATTAAATTTCGCGCCGGAATATTTCCAAAACACAAATTTCACTTCCATGATGCGCCAATGGATCCCGTGTTTCCACCCCCACTCCTGTACTTGTCGGATTGGATTCGCCTCTCTCGAAGACTGTTCGCATACAATCCTACTCCTCCACCAGAAGCGCTGCCAGAAGGATTTTTGCCATCCATAGCTAGCGCCACCTCTTCATCGTATCTACAGGGATTTTGAAAATTATCAGAAAACTCTATAATTGTACTTTTTACCGAGATTTCGAACATCTTCAAATTTAGCAGAAAGCACCAAAATACTTAATTTTTAGCAGTTCCTATTTGATGTTTACGTTATTTTGAAACTTAGATTAAATATTTTGAATCTGATTGGTTGCAACGTGAAAGGAGAACACCCAAAAAGATTCCCAAGCAAAACAGAAGTGTGCACATATGGCTAATTAGGAATATACATATAGACTAGTAAGACTAGTTAACAGTCGTCATAACCTTTCAGAAATGAGAGTATCGACTTACAATAACTCATAGTTTCCAAGTGCTTCTTTCGGAGGATTCTTGAATGACGGTGACTTCACACTGAAACGCCAAAAAACAAAAGACATCAGTAAAATTAAATTATATTATTTCAGACGTTGACGTTATTTATGTTGAACTCACTCTGGAGGCTGGTTATCTGGAAGGAGGACGTTGATGGTGTCCAGAACCAACTTGTACTTCATGATTCGGTCATTGACTGTTGTGGCCGACAGAGATGGACTCGCATTCACCTACAACAGTAATTTATTCAACAACTGTACCTCAATCAGTAAGCTATCAGTGACGAAGCATCATTTCGCATTAACATGCTAAAGGTAACGTTTTCCTTATGATATTGGATTGCCATTCGCCTTCCATTTACCAATTGAAATTGAAGTAAACTTAGAAAGCCCAGCCACCAAAATATGAAGTTGAGTGTAACATAACTTCAAAACTATTCCTAAAAAACAATAACCGTTTTCGGTGCAATAAGCGCCATATAATGATTACAATAGATAAAACTTAGCCAACAACTAGTTGGAAAAATTTAAGCGAACGACGAAACCAAAAACGACTGATAATTCATAATGTTTCAGATCAAATTACATAATGTTAAAATTTGTTCATGTTGAACTTTAGCCATTTGGAACTTTGTTGATATAAGTGATCCAAAAAATGAATTGGTAAATCAGTATTTTGTTTTTACTCCGCAGCGAATTTCTCAACACAAAATCTTTTTGTTGGAACTCAAAGTCGAGCTCCGTTTTTTCGCTTTTTCAAGGCCGCAGTCAGAACAACTTTTTTGGCCTTTTCAAGGCCGCTACATTATCAGCAACCAAAGGAGGACGACGGGAGTGTCCAAGCACGGATTAGATATGATTGCAATTTGTAAGTCAAGCAAAAACCACTAGGCCTTGACATGGGCGAGGACGTAGTTGGCTGTACCATCAGTACGCAAAGTCAATCCATATCATCTGTTTCTAAACTCCCCCTCGGGAAGCCCTTCGGACAAAGAACACGAGTTTTCAAAACGCGGCTTCAAAACAACTTCAAGCCACATACTTGACCTGGTTCTGACGAGCAGCGTTTTCTCCCTCAACGCAGACAACATTCACGTCGTTCTACCATGTTGACGGTATCCCAGCCTCCGACCACTACGCAGTCAAAACAACCATTGCTAACCGTCAAGTCCTGGAACCCATGAGACAGTACACATACCCCCCTCAGGTTCTGCCGCGCGGATTACCTTAATCTGGGCGAAAACGTCAATCCCCGTTCAAATGGTACAAAGATAAATAGCACAAATGGCTAAATTCCTTGCTACTTCCGGCGATCCTAACCAGAACCTCAAACGGAGCGTCCCTTTCCCCCATGGGTATCCCATACGTCCTCACACTTGATAGAAACAAACAGACTGCAGAAAGATACCACGCGAAATGACCAATAGAAAAGCAGCGGGAGAAGATAACCCAACCAACTAAAAAGATAGAAGCACTACACTACTTAGCGACCAAGCTACATACAATAACGAACTCACCACCTCATGCAACACAACAGCAGGTCTTTTCAAATACTTTGCGTCAGTTCACTGACCCAACAATTACTCGCCGACGCTGCGATATAATCAGAAATTAAGAATCAGTTGAAGATCCGCAAGAAATTATCGAAATCTTCAACAGGTATTTAAAATCTATTTTCTCCAGACGAAAAGCCGCACCGTCCAAAAAGTCACCGAATCCCCGCGTCAACCACCCCAGATGCGATGATTACAACGTCGTGCGTGCCAAGATCGACGAAATTCCCTCCAAACTGGACATCTCGAAACCAAGAGACTAATGACAATATCCCACCTGTGCTGTACAAGCCGACACCCGCCCACTCAAAGCGGCTTATCAGTATCTTCAGCGCCAAGCTCACCTGCTTGTTCCCAGCGTTGTGGAAAATAAGTTGAATCAAATCATCTATCAAAAGGGTGACAACACCCTCGTTAAGAACTATCGACCAGTCACTTTGCCAAACACAATATCGAAGGCCTATGAAAAAGCTTACTCGATCCTCTAAACTAGCTTGTTGCTCCGCTGCTACCAGCCTCTCAAATTGAATTCCAGGTTGGCAAACCGACGACCACCCAGTTATCTCGACGACATCTACAAAGGCATAGAACGAAAGACACCGCAGTAGAAGTAGTGTAGTTTGATTTCGCAAAAACCTTCGACACTATCGACCATAAAGAGATCACTAACTTCAGGTACTCCCTCGTCCTTAGTGGCGTGCCTCAGGGTTCCTTTCAGGACGACTGCTCATACTCATCTATGTTCACGATTTCTTAAGGCCTCAAATGCCTAGAAACCTTTCAGCTTTGCAGATGACTCCAAACTGCAACTCCGCCTGTTAACTCTCTTGAGAAGGCAGCCGGTCCCAAGCCCGGATAAAGGAGGAGGGTTGGGGCGTGGCGAGCCCTGTAAAACCAGCCAAGAACCCACATTATGAAAGTCCCAAAATGTATTCCGAATACTGCTACGCCCCCCGCGGGAAAAGGGGCCACCATGAGTGCCGTCATGGTGGAAAATGCTAATCCGGCACAAAAACCGCTCCAACATACCAAACACCATATCAACATCTGCACCTGGAATGTTCTGACGCTCATACAGCCAGGATCTCTCGAGCTCCTGGATAAATCCCTTGAAAACCATGGAGTTCACATTGCCTGCCTTCAGGAAACTAGAATTTCCGGAGACAACACGCATAACACCAAAAACTACAAAGTATACACCAGTGGGTATGACGACAACCGAGGCATCCACGGAGTTGGTATCGCAATCGACAAGAAACTCAGCAGCTCCGTGCAATCATGGAAAGCAACCAGCCCCAGAGTTTGCTCCGCCCGCATCTTTGCTAAACCCTACCCATTATCCATTATATGTGGATATGCGCCGACTGAGGACGCAGAAGCTCTCGACAAAGATGAGTTTTACCGAACACTACAAAAGACTCTTGAAGAATGCCCCAACGGTGATGTAATTATCTTAGCGGGAGATCTAAATGCCAGCCTAGGACAGGCATACCCCGCGGAACAACAACACATAGGTCGTTTCATAAAAACATCGAAACGAAACGACAATGGAGAACGCCTCGCTATGTTTGCAGCTACGAACGACCTGGCAATTGCAAACACGATGTACCAGAAGAAGAACCACCAGCTATATACCTGGATATCACGCGACAGACGAACCCGGAACCAGATAGACTTCATCCTGATCAAGAGGAGATGGCGCACAGCGATCAACGATATCAGAGCAAGAAGTGACAAGATTTGGATCGACAGCGACCATAGAATGGTGAAATGCAATCTGAAGACGAAACTTCGTACATATGTCAAAACCCATAGAACAGTTAGACTCAACCTCGATGCGCTCCAACATACAGGTACTTCCAGGAAATACTGTACGGCCCTTTGTTCAGTAACCGAATCTACCAGCAACGTGAACCAGAAATGGGAAATCCTAAGAGACAGTATGATATCATCGGCGAAAAAGAATCTGGGAATCTCGTGCACCGTAAGGAAACCTTGGATATCTGATGAAACCCTCAAAGCCATCAGAACACGTGAAAACCTCAAGGCTAAGGGCGCTGAACTCTCGAAAATAGCTGCGCAACGAAAGCTGATGAAAAAACTCATCCGAAAAGACAAGAACTGCTACCTCGACATGAAATCGGATCAAATTGAGGACGCCAATGAAAGAGGACACACTAGAGAGATGTACCGCCTCATTCGGACTTTGAGTGGTGCCAAATCGAGTAGTTCACAAACAGTCAAAGGTCTCGATGGCCAACAAATCAGCGATAGCAAGGAAGTCATGCAACGATGGGCAACTCACTTCTGCCAACTTCTGAATGCTGACAACAGCCCGGCCCAACTGCCCAAGGTCGTCTCGAGTACTGGAGTCTTTACGGATATAGATCAGGGAGAGCCGCTAAGAAGTGAGATTGAGGTTGCACTAGCAAGCCTCCATAACCACAGAGCTGGCGGGTGCGACCACATCCCACCAGAACTGTTCAAAAAAGGAGGTGAGAGAATAGTACTTCTTCTGAAAGACCTCTTCAAAAATATATGGAGAGAAGAGGCAGTCCCAGATGAATGGCGAACGTCAATACTCCTGCCGTTTCATAAAAAAGGTGACAAACTAGTGTGCAGCAACTATAGAGGAATATCTCTGCTCTGCATTGGTTTAAAAATCCTGGAAGCTATACTACTCGCACGTTTTGACGACCTCTACGACTCATACGCGAGAGATAATCAAGCCGGCTTTAAGAAGGGAAGAGGTTGTAGAGATCAAGTTTTCGCCCTACGACAGATAATCGAGCAGCGAAGTGAGTACAATAGACCCACAGTGATGGTCTTCATAGATTTCAAAGCTGCCTTTGACAGCGTCAAGAGAGATGCCATATGGAAGATCCTGGAAGATCACGGAATGCCAGACAAGCTGCTTAGGATTCTCAGGAACATGTATTCACAGTCCAACAGCATCGTGCGAAGAAACGACAACCTATCAGAGGCGTTCCACGTGGAAACAGGAGTCCGCCAGGGTGGCGTCCTGTCACCCTTCCTGTTCAACATCCTCATTGATCGGATCCTGAACGTCGCCACAGATAACACGAATCTAGGTATCCGGCTAGAAACCAGTATTACTGACCTGGACTATGCAGATGACATTTGCCTGCTAGAGGACAATCCAGATGACGCCCAGAACTTACTGAATCGAGTAGTTGACGCCGCAAAATTGGTAGGACTCCAAATGAACGAGTCCAAGACTAAGTGCATGTTCTCCTGTTGCGAGCCAACGGTGCTATTTTGTAATGGTGTTAAGCTAGAAAACGTCACTGAGTTCGACTACCTAGGAAGCCGCATCACCTGTAACGGAGACATTACCCCAGAAGTTCAGCACAGAATAGCCAGCGCGACTAGAAATGCTGCGCAGCTGAAGAAATTCTGGAGTAACAGAAACATAACCACCAGGACCAAAAGCAAAGTGTACAAAGCATGCGTAAGAAGTGCTCTCCTATACGGCGCAGAAACATGGCCGGTTAAGAAAGGGGACCTGGCCAGGTTGTCCTCATTCGAAACTAGGTGTGCACGGCGATTTGTCTACAATGGATTCGAAATAGCTACCCAGGAACTGCTTCGCAAAGCACAACTTGACTCACCTATGGACTATGTGCTGAGGCGTATGCGACTGAAGTGGTGTGGACATGTGTTCAGAATGCCGGATGAGAGAGTGACGAAGGAGGCACTGTTCTTCGAGAAGGCGCCCACTTGGAAAAGACCAAGAGGTGGGGTCAGAAGAACATGGAGATCAACAGTCGCTGCTGACCTCGAACGTGTTCTGAAACCACCGAACATGAGGGCAGACAAGTGGAGATTGTGCTGGAAAGATGCCTGCATGGAGGCAGCCCTGGACAGAAAGCGATGGCGTGCGATCGTTCGGGACTCAATATGTGGCTGACAATGGGCAGTAGTGCCTTAGTCATGATGATGATGATGATGATGATGATGACTCCAAACTGCGGAGCATTCATGCGGAGGGTGAAACATGTGAATTTCAAGAACAACTAGACAAGGTGACCGACCGCACTAACGGAAAATCATAGAGCTGAACCTCAACAAGAGCCATATTATTACTTCAACATAATATTACTAACCATTCCTCGCCCATCCTCATAAACAAGACATGTCGGAAGTCGCTATCAGTCCTGCATATCCTCAGACGATCGTCATTTGACCTGACTTACTTGCTCCCATCAAATATTGTGTCTATTCAAATCAATGGTACAGCCAATAAAAAGGCACGCAAGTCATAATGGTTCGGGGACAGAGAGAAGTACTAAGGCGCTGGAAACGATACAACGCATAGCAACAAACTGGATTACTAACTCCAAACTTCTTTTTTCCGAGGGCCTAGACCAGCTCAACCTGCTGCCTCTATTCTTATACATCGTGATGAACAAATTGTTGCTCTTATCTAAGATCATATCCGACCGGTAGCAGTTCGATTGGCCAAATTCGTGTCCTTCTCTGACCGAAGAGGCAAGATATTCGATATCCACTGAGTTCGTCTAGAAAGAGCGAGAATGAAAATTTGCTATTGTACAAGCCGCTTGACTAACCTTGTCGACGGTCACGTCAACTGCTTTTCACCCGGCGGTCTCAAAAACAGACTGATAAGTTAATACTGGATCATTTTCCCTTCTAAGTACAAAGTTCCTGCACCTGGGTAGTTCTCTGCTTCTGCAACAACTGCAGACCATTGAATTTTAAATGGAGACACATTCCAAATTTCCAGGAAAGAAATTAATTCATATTTTGATGTGAAGCTTTTATATTAATCTTGAAACGAGCAAGAGCTAAAAACTTTTGAGCATATTCAAAGAAAAAATATATGGCCATGACGCAATGTCAGCTTCACGGATCTTTTATGATTGACGGTTTGTTGATAAAAGCCAGCAAATTTGATAAATGTGTACCTTTTCGCATCATCTAAACTTTTGTTACTGGAGAGCCCAATTTGCCTTCCATTCACCAAGTGAAATTACAGTGATCTAGAAAATCTAAGTTTCGACCGCAAAAAAAAAAAACAGAACTTGAACAATTTTCATAATTTTTTCTGAAAACAAACCAAAAACACACATTCAAACCTGCGCTTCGCAAACACTATCGAGAAAATGCCAAAAAACAGCTTCATTAAAAGGAAAAATAATCAATCCTGCATATAATCAAACGATCAACATCCAACTTACTTCCCTTCAACAAAGATTGTGTCTTTTTAAATCAAGAATAAAGCCGATAACAATGTACGCAAGTTTGGGGACAAGAGTATTACTAAGGAGCTGGAATCGATAACGCATAGCAACAAGCTCACTCAACTCTCAACCTATTTTCTGCTAGATTGTGTTGAATAATTTGTTGCTCTTATGTACGATCATATCCGACCTGTACCAGGTCGATTGGCTAACTTCGTGTCCCAAGATATTCGATATCCACAGGTTTTATCTAGAAAGAGCCGGAATGAAAATTTGCTATTGAACATGCCGCTTGGCTAACCTTGTCGACGGCCACGTCAATTGCTTTTTACCTGGCGGTGTCAAAAACAGACAGTTAAACTATTATTGGAACCATTATCATTTCAAGTACAAAGTTCCTGCAGGGTAGTTCTCTGCTTCTGCAACAACTGCAGACCATTGACTTTTTATATAAAGGGCACATTCCATATTTCCAGGGAAAAAATTACTTCATATTTTGATGTGAAGCAGTCATATTAATCTTAATCGTAATACTATTGTCAGAGAGTGCTACTTTCCAATGAAAAATCAAACTCAAACTAGAGAAAACCGAATGAAAAATATCTAAAATTTTTGAAGCATAATCAAAGAAAAAATATATGGCCATGAAGCTATATCAGCCTCCAAGATCTTTCATGATTGACGGTTGGGTGACAAAAGCAAGCAAATATAGGCTAAGCTGGGAGGCTAAGTTTAATGAACACTTTTATTTGCGAAATAGATTAGAAATAAAGAAGGTTCATAATAACACACTAAGCTGATCCCAAGAGTTATCATGCTTTTCAGTTATATTGCGAGATATACTGAGTCGGAAATATTCTGGACGTTAATTGCGAGATATACTAAGTCGGAAATATTCACTCGACTTTACATTACTGTACCGTTGTTTGAAACAAACAATTTTTTCGGCTCATTCAGGAACTATAACTGCATCGCTTATTACTAATCGATTGCCAGAGCACATGCTATGAAAAAGCCGTTAAGACGCCACCAAAAGTGGAACCAATATTTTCGAATTAGGTTGGAAAAGAGCATAGTCGCACTATTGCACTACACTCGCAAAAGTTCGCAAGTGTAAAAACTTGCGACTTGGGTAACTATCTAATTTAATTCATTGACATCCAAAATAGAACAAAAATATATCTTTTGCTGAACTAAAAACGTAGCCAGCAGACATTAGGAAAAGAGTCAATGAACTCGAGAGCGAATAAAATGACTATTCGTTTTCGGAAAATTTCCAACTTACGAATTTCTTTAAAAAAATATATCACTTTCGAACTTTTTAAATAATAAATCTATTATTATTGGTTTTTTTTAATATTGCCTACCTAATTGGAGAAAGTTCAACAAACAGGCATATTTTTATTCCGGTGCGAACTCTAAAAATTAAAATCTACTTTAAAATCTAAACGTCGGCCACGTTTCTTGCGCCATTTGCACTTTCGTATAGGAGAGCGTAATTTTCAATCCTTTTAGCATGGTATTGAATTGGAACTGATGTTGAATTAATTTAACATTTAAAGAAATCAAAAATCAAACTGCGAAAAAGTTAATTTGAGCGTGAACAACTTTTCCTTAGAAAAAAAAACTAAAATTAACACGACCTAAATAAGTGTCTTCAATTCTTTCATTAATAGTTAACCAGCTTACCTACATAAAGGAGAAGACACCATTTATTAATTCTCGATAATTTTTGACAAAGAAAGAAAGAGGTGGATTACCTCAATGAGCCAAGGCTTGAGTGCGCTGTCGATGATGATGTCGTAGCCATAGCACTCGAAGCAGTGTCTGTCATTGGCCATGACCCCTGCGACTGCCTTCAGACTGTGCACTATTTGCCAGTGGATCTCATCCCACAACTTGTCTGCCGCCTAAACCCAATTTAATGCTTTAAACTAAAATGGCCAACAGATAGATGGAAAAGTATCAACAATAAACCAAAAAATTCTTATTTGGACAATGAAATCATATTTGGAGAAGCTTCGATGACTTTTCCGACAGAGACTTAGGTCATGTTTTTTTTTCAAATATTTCAGCTATTTTACCCAATTAAACATCAAATTCGAACTAATATCAATTTGTAGCCCATCTGACCTGTTTTCCTCTGGTGCTTTCTATGTACAGTCTGAGAGCATGAATAGGCCACTTGCCACCATGATGGTTGTTGTATTCGGCCTAAAAATAAAGGAAGAGAACTTTAGAAATCAGTACACACTCGTTTTGGAAAAAATTATAGTTTCATTTGAGTTTCTCAGAGATACTCACCCCATACTTCTGAATGGACACGTTCGTTAAGTGAACGAACATGTTGTCCAGCTCACCCACACTCGTGTTGTATTTCACTGTACAGAAACGAGCGAAACCCAGCTGGTATCTAATCAAAAAACCTTCCTTTATTCTCCTCTATTTCTCTCTTAACTTTTAAAATAAAGGTGAGCCTACGAGTTCGATTACACGAGTCAATATCTAGTGTTCAGATATTATTTTCCTAACAGAAATTGATTCTTCTAATTACCATAATAAACGTTGTTTTCAAGTCATCAGGTTGAAATCATACGGACGACTTACATATACACTTTGAGAGGACGATAAGACAAGACGAGCACGTATAACCTCAGATCAAACTTCTTCCCGCCTATCAAGAGAGGTTTGTCCAGGTACTTCGAAATCACATAATTATCCTTCACAGGAGTCGCATAGCTACAAAGAAAAAACATTAATATTTCATCATTATAGTGTAGCTCACAGAAAAATCGATTTCAAAAGGAAAATCGAAGAGCCAAAAACTCACTTTTGCGTTTTACCATCCCTCGACCATTTTTTTAATTGAGTCAATTTATTGATCAGGAAAATTCCAATCCCTCGAGCTAGAAACAAACATCAATCGTTCATCCAATTACTGTTGATCTGACCTCACTAAATTACTAGCAATACTTGTCAAACCTTTTCCGGAGGGTTTCATGATCCATGTTGAGTTGGGATTCTTTCTGAACTCTTCAGCAAACAGGTTGTAGTCTCCGGGCAGAATATATGTTACTGGAATGAAATCTGAACCAACATATACATCGTAACAACCAACATTTTCAAAGCTCTCAAAAACATAAATTAATCTATATATGTAGACTTTTATATATAACCGTTCACAAAATAGAATTAGATAACTGGAGCTGCTTGTATATTTTCAATATGTGGTTGAAATATATCACGCACCTAGATGAATATAATGGCCATGTTCGTCTTTCTCAGCCAGGGGACTGCCTTCTTTCTCCAGGTCCTTCCGGTATCTCTTGATATTCTTCACCACTAGATCCTTCCTGGTCAGTTCAAAGTGATTCGGGTAATGGCAAATTATTCTAGGGCAAAATCAAAGGATGCTTCAATGTAAGAATAAAGATATTTAGAATAGACAACTCGAGGCAGAAGTTCTCACTGGTCATCGGCTAGTCGATGCCCATTTTCGACGCTGAAAACATTTCTTGCTGTCCCCACACCTGCCCTGAAAAAGTTATCTTCAAAATTGTGTAGTAAATATATATCAAGTCAAATTTCTTTTCAAACTACACTCGATTTGCATTGCCAAATTTGAGAAAACGCCAATAACAAAAAATGTTCTGCTGGGATTTAGAAAAAACTAAGTCCGCTTTTCAAAGTAAAGGCCCAGCTCCATTTTTCGCGCATGCGCTCATTTGTTATAGGAGCGCATAATTTTCCTTTCTTTTCTCAAACGATTTTGATTGCGAATAAAAAAATCACATCGTTGATTATAACACTGGGCATGAACAAAAACCAGGATTTCATCGTAGATCAAACTTGACCTGATTAGGTGAAAGTTCACTCCATTCATTAAATAAAAAAACTAGCGTCTTTGGCTAAATAAAAAAACTAGCGTCACCAAAAAGACTTCCGATATTTTGAAATCTGCAGCTTTACTCTGAAAGGTTTAAACTATAACTGAGTATAGTATATCAAGCTTGATTTCTAATCTAATTGCTCGTTTAACGTTTCGTTATCTTGGATGGTATGACAAAAGAACCAATGACTTATTGAACCGATTCGTAAAAACAAAAGACGGATCTTTTTAACAATAACCCCTTTAAACCTACATAATAATCTCCCTTCCCTGTGCATGTTTTACTTTGGATACACTAATATTTGCGCCTATTAATTTATTCAGCCGGAAAATCTAGACACTATTTTGCTTCAATCTGAAATTTATTCAGCCGGAAAATCTAGAAACTATTTTGCTTCAATCTGATTGACTAGAAAAAGCCCATCAAATTTCAGCACCATCTCAAAATGTTTTGTTCACAATTTTCACAGATTTGGCCATACAAAATAGAAATGTTTGCTAAACAATCCAAACTTATTTCAAATAAGCTACAGAGCTTTACCCAGTCCAAAACAAAAATTGCTCCAGAAAAAAAATGACCACCTTCACATCTGCTCAAAATCTTGTAAAATCGATTAGAGAATAAAGTAATCGCATTTGTATGAAACAAACCAATCAGTGTGATCAGAGTTTTGTTCTACTGCATTTATACATTGAACACTGCAATATCGCAAAATTAAGAAATTTGGGAGGAATAAGTAAAGACACCTTTTTATTTATAAATATGCATTTCAGGAATCCCCCTGTGCATGTTTTAATTTTGCCACAATTTTATTAATAAACACAGATGCGAGGCAGAGCTTCGCACCACTTGCAATACAAAACTGAATGACTATCACTACTTGCAGATGAACTGACCAAACAAAAGTAGAAGAAAAACTTCAACATTTTTTCTCAAAAAATCACAAATAAAAAAGATTTTTAAAACGACACTTCGGAATTACCTGCACCCAGGGGCAGATTTAGGGGGGGGGCGGACGCCCTCCCCCTCAGGGATTCGACCCCCTGCCGACCCAAAGGGTCCCCCCTTTGATACTTTTTCAGAAATTCATTTTTGGCCGACCGACCCTAAAATTTTTCTAAAGGCGCCTTTGGCGCCAATATATACTAACTTTGAGGGGGAGCGCGCGCCAAAAAAAAACGCGATTTTTTTTGTCAAAATTTTTCAAAAAGTGCCCAAAACGGCTTTGGGAGAGCTCGAAAAATCAATTTGGTCGACCTAAAAAAAAAAGGTCGTCAAAATTTTGAAAATTTTTTTGAAAATCCGCCCCCCCCCCCTCGAGAAAATCCTAGATCCGTCCCTGCCTGCACCTATAGAAATTTAAAAACTTAAGAACAAAAAATTTTGAGAACCCCTCAAAACGGTTACATAAAACCTTTTTTGCTCCTCTAACGACACAAAAGAGGTCTCAAAGCCAATATATGGTGAGCCGAAACCTTTTAAGCCGAATGAACGCCAAATAAAAACGAAAAACTGTAATCGGTGTATGTAAATTTACAACTAACACAGAAACCAATTCAATTTTGAACAGAACAGGCATTAAAAATGCACACAGATGATCATCACAAATTTCAGTCATCCTCTGAAAAAAGATGTTTACGTGAAGAAAAATCAAGTAACTAGTTTCAATGCCCTTGTTTATCGCAAGAGTAAATATGCATTGTAAAAACATATGCAGCTGAATCGTCTTTTTTAAGTTATGAGTGGTGATGGCTCTATTTAGCCTCATTAAAACTTGTTTTAGTTTACCAATAAAAAAATATAGGTCCATTAAAAACGTTTTCCAAACATCTTTTCTCTGATACAGCTTATTTCGGAAGCATGCGATACAAATTGAATTGCATTTCAGCTAGATACACAGGGACAAATGAGTATTGCTTTTAAAAATTGTAATTAGTCTAAGAAAAAACAGTAAGTTAACTACCGGTGCAACGCTTCTCAAAAACAAAAACAACGCATATTTCATTAAATTTGTCGGCTAAGTGTTGTTGATGAAGGAATTAGATCCCTCAAGAAAAAGACAGGGACCGCTCTCAATGCAGTACAAATCTTATTTCTAAACACAGAGACGGGCACTAAAACGTGTCAGAATTCAAACCCGAATCAACCACCCAATTGTTGTCGATTTCGTATAAAACTACTACGTAAATTGATTTTAAAAAAGTAGAAATCAGCAAGATATCAATTAGCCTATAATGAAACAGCATTTGCTATTTCTTACAAATTTTGGCTGTTTCGAAGCTATGCCAGTGAATTGATACTTTTGAGAATTCCGCATTTTGAAAAACCTAGTGAAAATCTATCTAAATCTGAAGCGGATAAAATTTTGCTTTCTGGGATCATCCTTTGAATTACATTTCAATTGCTATCGCAGGAACAGACTTCTTCACTTGAATGCGACTTGAAGGTAAACGAGTACCGGGATTTCTTCTTCTTCTTAGTTTAAGTAATCATTTACACATAAGTAGAAATACACACCAGTAGAAATTCCAATCATCATGGGGTGTGACGTGGATCCAACCTTTCCGCTCAAAATTATTTGTGAGGCAAGCTTTGTCTTGATCACTGCAATATTTGATTGTCCCCCCAGATGAATTTGATTGGGACATTTTATTGAGGAAGATCAATTTTGTACATCAAATTTCAATCCATATTGGCCTGAAACGGAACGAGAAAAACTAATATTGGAGAAAAAAATTTGCTAATATGCCAAAAAAAATTGGTGCTAGGGACTTTAGCAGATCGGTTTTATATCATACCAATCTTTTAGCAGACTCAGAACAATTAGCAAGTCAGAAAGCTAACTTCAAACGCAGCGTTGGCGATTTGCGACTACTTGCTCCGCTCAGTTTTTTAAGTTGGTCTGCTAAAAGAAAAGACTAATTTCTCACTGTCTGTGTTAAAAGATTGGTATGCTGAAAAATCGGTTCCTGAAAGATACTGAATTACATTCCAATCAAGAACATATTTTAAAAAGTAATAAATAAATATAATGATGAAGCATTTAAGGATGATTTATGATTTCAATGATACGATGATAATTTGCTGATAAATATGGATTTTTCAAAAAGTAAAGTATCGTGCAACGCACCTTCGGTGCTTCGAATTTTTGACAACTCATACAAAAACATATATTGGAAACAAAGATCTGCATAGCTTTTTCATCGCTAGCCTCTTTCGGGGTGCAGCCTGTATTTAGACAACCGCGTATTCATACTCGTCAGTATTTAGACAAACACTGTTTCAACCAATCAGAATCGAGAAAAGACATGAATAATCCAGAATAAATAATAATATATTAATTTCTTCTTTATCTCGATTCTGATTGGTTGAAACAGTATTTGTTTAAATACTGACGAGTCTGAATGTAACTGCTATGTAACCCTTCTTTCAGTGGAACATTAGTTAACAATTTTTTAACATCTAAAAGAAATACAAATCTGATCGGAGCCCAAATAAACCTTATCAATAATCTCTCTTGATTCTTGTGTAATTGTTTCAATATTTGCTCCCAAAATTTTTTCAAGAAAGTTAGCCGAGGCTTAGATCAAGTTGGCATATAAACTTCCGAGAAGAGATAGAACAGGGTGCAATGGTATGTCTTTCTTGTGTACTTGTGGTAAATCGCTCAAACGAGCCTGTTGACTAGTTGTTGACCTCAATTTATTGTAGGTATGTTCACAAGTAACATTGCCGTTTTTCAGACTCAACGTTTCTTTTTTAATGTCTTTCGCAGTTTTTTAGACCACTGAATCATCAGCGTTGTTCATTGTTTTAAATTGGTCGTATCCTGAACAGTCTGGCAATTTGCCTTCGTATTGGCCAATTTTGCATGATACAAAACTCAACCCTTTTTTTGGATAGTACTGCTAAAAGGGCGTTGTTTTCGGAAAAAAATTCTTGTTCCTTCCAACCCCTATCAGATGATGCTTGCTTTACATAAGTTTTAGCTGCTGCTTCAATCTCACACAAAGACTCCCGTGTTACGTTTTGATTTTTCAGTTGGGATAAAAAAAATTAAATCGGCCAAAAAAAGTTATTTTTACGGAAAGTACCTGAACCTGATGTTTGGTTCTCGGGTATAAATTTTCTTGCTGCCACTTTGGCAAATCAGTGCCCTCTGAATCTTGTAAGGTCCTACTAATTTAGTACTAGGGTTTATTGTCTTTGTTGAGGGTTTATTGATTTTGTTTTTGTGGGTTTCCTTCTAATCAAAATGATAAAAAAGTGCATGACTGACGGCCAAATTTTTCTTATCAAGCATCCGCTGTCCTATCACTCTTGTTTTGCCTAACTTGGCTAATGCTCTACTCGTCAACCCCAGCTGTTCTTTTTTTTCAATTCTGAGTAGTTTCAGCTAGAAACAATGAACAACATGGTCACAAAAAAAGTTTACCGGCAAGTGGAATCGCGTAAAAACTGGTATTTTGTCGGTTTTCAATTTTTTGCTCAAAATTTTGAACCTAACCTAATCGAAAAAAAAATTTAGCAACGAGAAGGTTCATTTAAATTAGGATTTTTTTTGAGATCGTCTAGCACTAGTTTCCACGAAAATTACTCCCTAGTATCCATCGTCGGAGAGATGGTGGGGAAGGGTTGTTGAGATCATTACTTTGAAGGTCACGAGGAGCAGACCTCACGAGGCACAAAGCAAAGAACAAACAGAACAGTTACAACACTAACAGTTTGACAAAGTAGCATCCATTTGCTCCACTTCATTCTTTTTCGCTTCCTCCTTGTCTGCGAGGCCTGTTCTTTGCTTATCTTATCTTTCCAATCAGTCCTGGTAAAATGTTTTATTTCTCTACTAATAGGCAGATGGAATTCAACTCCAGGACACTATCTTGATGAAAATTCAGATACTTTTTCACCAATTCTGGCTTGTAATTTCACCTTATCTTCGATAGGATGTACTAGCTCTTAGGTATAACCAAAATGCCGGTTTGTCTCAAGGCTTTTCGATGTCGGGTAGACCCTTTCTCTTTCAGTAAACTATCGCCCTGATTTGCGAAATTCTCGCTTTCAGATATTTAGAAATATCTTTAGGATCGCGGTGTCGATAGTTATTTGATCTGTGGCTGCTAATCAGTCTGCTTATGACGTCGTGTCACACCGGAAGGCTTTCTTTTGATTGCAACGCACCGCTGTCTAGAAGAAAATCCATTTTCTTTTCTCTATTGTTTGTGTTTGAATTGAGGGAGGTTCCAGGAATAGTCGTCACAATTGTTGAAAAAAAAATTCTTTCTTTGGTTTCCGATCCTGCAAACTGTGGTGTAGCAAACTAGCAGCTACAATGTAAACCATTCTGTTTCTGACATTATAAAACAGTACAATGAAAGGAGAGAAAAGATCAATAAAATTGTCGTTTTAATTAGCAAATAAATATGCTTATCCCCCGCATTTGAGTGTTTTTCTAATTTCGTTCCTGAAGGCGCTTTGCTCTATTTCGTTGTGAGAACTTTGCTGTTTCTCCGGATTTTTATCACTTCAATCACAGAAAATAAATTGATGTAAAACGACTCAATTTTCTTTGTCTGTTTTTTAGAAAGTGTCGAATTATAAGGTAGAACGTTGACGTTTACATTGCACTATGATCTGTAGTTCTTTATTTTACCTTAATAAATTTTGTCTTTTCTGATCAATGCACATTGTATCACTAAGCAAGTTATGGTTTGCTTGGGGTTCTTTTCTTGATATTTTTTTTGAGGTCGCTTGGGGTTTAAATGACATCAACGTTAAAGTTCTGAAACATACAATTTTTTGGCAATAAGCGACAGCAAAATATTGGAACCTGATCTAAACTACATTTTATTATTGGATAAATTTGTAACAGTCGCCTACTTCGGTCACATATGAGGCTTAAGAAAAATAGGCCCTATAACCATTGGCTCAAGAGTCAGGGACACTATCTCTTGTGTTTGTCTACCTCAAAAACGGTCGGAGCCAATTCGGTTCGCTTGCGACATGAGACTAGAACCCGTTACAGCTTAAAGGCTACTACCAAAATATCCCCCCACTCTAGAAAATAAGAACGTTCCCATACTTAGGTCTCGAGATACCCAAAATACACGAACGCGGTTAAAAACAGGGTCGGAACAATCCGTTAAGTTACTTTTTATTAGACAGTGGAACTTTGATCCATTTCAGATGGATCAACCTAAAACTCGCCTTATCTCAACATTAAATAGATTTCAGGTCATATGTTTTTACGAGGTAGCCGGGGTTGCCTCATACTTCAATAATCCACATTATTGGTGCAAGTTCTCTATATCACGCCCTTCACCCGAAGAACAGTGACGATCAGGAACTCATCCAACTAGCTGACCAATTGCGAAAATACGTAATCAGCGACCGTGGTGTAAGCCTACACCCGAAAGCCAAAAATCAAGACAAAACGGTTCAACTATTGTTGTTAGATATCAGCCTCGAAGACTCAGTCATCATCTGGCACGACGTCATAAACAACACCATAACGAGCCACCCCAACGACAGCCGCATCCCCTTAACCCCGACCGAACTACTTGACGAACTGCGAGCCCTACCGCAAGTCAGTGGAATCGTGTATTGTCAACGTATTGAAGCGACAAACGTCCTTGCTGACCTCCGCCAACTATCAATACCAGTTATTGAAATAACAACAGAACTGATCTCACGCAAGAAACAGCAAAATCAAGAACTGGTTGACACTTATCTGAAATTGCATCAGCCGGATTTTTTCGAACTACACTTGCTTGAAATCGTCATAAACAACGATTGCAACCTGTCCGCTCTTCTAAGCAAAAAGCGAAAACAGAAACCATCAAAAAAGCAACCCGAGAAGCAACGGGAAGCGAAACAACAACGGCTAGAAGGAGGATCCCGCTTAATAGGTTAGTAGTGGTGGTAGTAGAAGCCTGGGCACAAAATTATTGTCCCAGTCTTAAACAACTGTACACAAACAAAGAACTGGACTTCATTGTCCCGGTCTTTACGTTGGTACTTTGTTATATCCTCTTAAGAACTGGACTTCATTGTCCCGGTCTTTTCTCCCCAATTTAAGAACTGGACTTTGTTGTCCCGGTCTTATATCCCCTGACTAAGAACTGGACTTTGTTGTCCAGGTCTTAGACTCTAAGACTTATCCTATCTCTATCTCTATTACTACTTCGATCTAGTATTTGTTCTATAATTATATCACATCATCTCAAGATAACGCCCTTCAAGCGAACATTAATCAAAATGCGAGAAAACTGCTACAGCTGTAACAGAAAACTCAAAATGGGACCTAAGTTCTCATGTTATACATATGACAAGGTCCTACATCTATCCCCTGAATTCACCATGTTCACTAACGATGAAGTCAAAGTCCTCATCAAACTGAATGATAACCTCCTCCACATCTGCAATGACTGCAAACCCAAACGTGACGATCTTGTCAAAAACAAAACTACAACAAGTAACAAACTTGACGAACAACTTGATAACTTGCAACTATAAATGAAGGTTCTCACCGAAAAAATGGAGCAATTCAGCACTGTCATCACTCAAGTACAAGCCGATATGAAAACACTTAAAGAAAAACCCAACAATTTCCGAGCAGCCGTGGGAAACTTAAGCCCAGGAAGAGTGGTTAATTCGCCAACTGTACCAAAAGCTCAACTTGGTATCCGAATACGCGGTG